GATACAAAAGCAGAACGCAGCGCCGGAAATGCTCACAAGTATACACAAGTCTGGCACCACAACTACGATGGTCTGCCGACAAAGTGTCCTCATCCTCATCCCACTACTTACTCTAGTATATAGTGAGGTAATAGCGCATCTAGGCCAATAATTACAGTAAACTAGCTCTATATCCAGACGCCAGTTATCATTGTTTCTCAGGTCAAGGTCGTCGAGATCAATGTGTCCAAGTACGAAGGACTGAAAAGCTCGCAACTTAATATTCGAGAAAAACGAAATCAATTCTATGCTTTTCAGTGAGTACTTTTAATCTATCTTCCTAATTCTTGGAATTTTTAATCAATGTTTTTTGCTGCAACTGAATTTATTACTGTGCAGGTTTTGCTTGTGTCCACGTGGTGTCCAGCTGCAATCTCAGCCATGGTTTTCTTCAAAATGCGAATGTAAACTTACTCTAAAGTAGGTGCACTTATACTTTCATCTGTTGTCATTTCATCTGCCCTACTGGTCTGCTCCTTATCATTATCGTCACTATTTTTAGAGGGAAGCGAGTCGCAGATTCAACTCCTCATGCGACCTTTCCACCATCATGTCTATCGAAGCCAAATCCAAGCACGTGCCTCGGAGTCACCTTCTCAAAAGTGATTTTTTTATAAATCTTCAAGAGCTTTATTCAAAATCTAGTTCGCCTATTTCAATATATTTCTTCTATTCTTTCGTGCTGCGCACAGTCGAGAGACCTAAAAATGGCTAGCAGCTGAAACTATTATGTTTAATATGAAAACATGTTGAATCAAACTAATCCGTTTTTATTATTATCTTGATTAGGATGTTTAACCGAAATTCAACATTATTCTTCAAGCTTGTTCAAATTAATTTAGAGGGGGTGGTGAGCAAAGAAGTCGTTTAGTCTCCGTTTCGCACGTGACCCTTAGACGGAGACCAAACAAATGAAGTCTCCTCCCTCTGTGCTCATCAGTAAGGGAAGGGAGGACAAAAAGTTTTAGTTCATCATAGCACAATTATACGAAGGATGTGATTACCAGTATTGTGGCTTCTATTCACAAAATACATCATGCTACTGGGAAACTTTTTGAAAACTATGCTACATTTTATTTAGCTATAGCTTGTGCTCTACAAAACGAGTTATCGTATGTGGCAAACCGCTTCCAATTAACTCTGTAGGCATTGGGGCAACCGTGTGCACGGCTACGTTGTGCATCTACAGTGGTGCAAGTGATTTTTTTCCTGGGTATAAATTAATGCGCGTACTTCTGAAAATTTTCGGTTCAGTCTGTGACCCCTACCCTTTCCGCCCGGAAGTCTACGTTATATAGAAGTGCGTTTATTTATGTTTTTATACCTTTTGCCACTTCTATCTGACTCTTTTTCCGTTGTGAGCCATTTTTGGAGTACTGAAAGTTGATTTTACAGTGTTAAGGACACGCTTTGTTGAGAGTAACCGTTGGAAAATCGCACAGCGACCGCAATGCAGGGAGCTCCACTGAAGAAGGACAGGAATCTTCGCGTCTTACAACGCGAGACACTCTTAGGAGATCTTTTGCCAGTTTTTCTTTCGATTATGAGTCTGTGCGTCTATCAATCTTTTGTAACAGGTTGAGTTATGGAACGTCACCCAATTGCAATATGAATTCTGATAAGATCGGACGTTGTCAAGAGCATTGTGGAAGCGAAACGAGAGAAGTATTCTCCATATTTGATCTCTTCTTCAAGAGAAAGGATAACACACTAGTCACCAATCGTAGTGCTCCAGAGAAAATTGGAAAGAGCCGAGTTGCTAAGGCCATTCAATCAGCGCCAGCAAGCAACAAGGACGAAATCTCAAGTGTCGCTAGATAGTAATGTATGATTTTCATGCTCGTTTTGTATATGAATGTGAATATCTACAAACCCTTATCGACTTGATTATAATTAACGTCTCATTTTCGTAAAAATGATGAATCTCTGGCGGAATTCGCACATGATGCTGTAATGTATGAACTAGTAAGAAGTTGTAATTGAGCGCGCTAAGGTACAACGAAGAACTGGTTTATGCGACTGCCCATCACAGCGAATGCGCGTGATCGTAGGCGTTGTCTGGCCTATATGAGCAATCTCTATTGAACTTCCGGACGCAATTTGCTTAGGGAGGGGCGGCGGGACGTCAGGTCTGGGTAGCACGAAAGCTAACAGAGGGACGGAACTCTGGAAGAATGAATTCTCGCACCATTCGGAGGGGGTCGTATTTGATTATTATTCGTTTGAGTGAAGGTTTGATTGCTGTTGGGATTAAATTGCCGATTTCCCGTTCCATTTCGCCAAGCGCCAAATCCCCTCGCTCGCACCCCTCGACGCTTCGGTGGGGGAAGGTGAGCGTTGGGTAGTTGGCTTGTGTCGACTGATGTCAGAATAAATGCTATAGAACAACCATCGTCGGTGAGGATAGCGGTTCGGTGAGGCTGGGGCAGGGTTGCACGCTGGGGACCATATTCTAGCTGTGGTGGCGGGTCGCATCGAGACCCCCAAAAGGAGAGGGGTCATGAAATTTCTAGAAAAGTGGGAGCGTCACGGTTGACCCTGCCGACCTCACGGGCTTCCCTCTCTCCCCTCCCTCTCCCTCCCTCCGAATTCTTGACTTTCAGGATCAGATCATATCCGGAAGACTGTTTCTGCAAAGTCTGAAAGATAGATCGCAATTAGTTCGGATATGTGAAGTGGCAAAGAAGAGGTGAGATTTTCTGCTATACGAAGGTAAATATTAGGTTGGTAACTTTGAAATGTCGTTTTTGATCAAAGATTATTTTAAGTATAAAAGCTATACCAAAGCTTATCAACCTAATTTATTTCCTTTATGTGTGTCATCCACTCTCCACCTTTTCTTATGCAAGGCAAGGAGGTCTACCTCGTAGAACTCTTCCAGGTACGACTCGAAGAAGTTAGGTACTCAAATTATGAGGTCGTCGCGGTTATCAAATTGGTTTGCTGCTAAGGAGTATTGCGCTGACCTGAGTCAGTGATAGTTGGAGGGTGCCAGGTCTGAGCTATATGGCGCGAGAGGGAGAGCGTCCCAGCCCAACTCCTCGATTTCTTGTTGCAAAATTTTCGCGACATGTGATCTTGCATTATCGTGCCAAAATGTTTCAATGACCGAATTTGCCCTTTGACTACGTAGAGCCCGACCCTCGCCTGCGGGATGTTGTGCGCAGAGTTTAGCTGTAACTATATGACGCACAATCAGCTCTCCATAGTAAGCCATTCTTATACTGCTTCACCATACTGTAGCAAGACTTTTTCTCTGTGGCTGTCCGGTTTCGGAGAGGCCCTCAGCTGCCCATCTGTTGCAACCGGCTCTTATTCACTTGGTTTCGGGAACTCTTTGTGAAACCGCGCCTTCAACGAAGTCAGGAACCTTCTTCTTCTTGGAGTTATGCAGCAGAGTTCAAGTATTGGCAACCAATACTGCTTGCTCGTGTCGCTCAGAATAGGCCGAACCCATTTTCTCTCCTGGAAGGCCCTAACAGTCGCACGTAGGAACTTTCAAATTTTTTTGTTGACACAACTGAATCTCCATGCAAGTTTTGTGCGGTATGTCGAGGACTCAATTCGTTGGCCTTCTTTATTTCTCCTTCATCTGGAGCTAGAGGTCAGAATCCACGACCATCGTCATCAGCTCCTTTACCTCAGTCTTAGAAGAGCTGAAACCATGGCTGAAAGTGCACCAGAAACTGAGTGTTTGCTGCTCAATGTTTTGCACATAATGTTGATTTGGCTGTTGCTTTGGTGTGAGTGGACAAGCTAGGCGATGTTTGTTGTGTATCTATCATGGTTCGAGCAAGTTTTTGGTCAAGACATGCCGCTCGCGTATGGTAGGTTTAATATGTTCTTGATGCTCTTATCGAATGAATGCTCTCCTATTTACAGAGGTTGCAGTTTCAGCTTGAGAACAAACCACAAAGAGCGAATTTTCAAAGTTTACCATCTAATTAACGGCATGCCTATGAAGTATGGCATCGAGAGGAGCCCGAATACTAAAGTTGGCGACGACTGCAGGACAGCGGACCCTGCAGTGCGCGGATAACCTATGGAGAGAGAAGGCAATGCTTGTTGCAATAGGACACTGACGTATCTCCAGAGATCAATGAATTAAGATCAATATTTGCAACACCCATAAACTTCCGATATAATATCACCCAGAGTTGGTTGTAGATTGGGGGCTTGTGGATTGGTTATTGCTTAAATACAAATCGATGGTTCATGCTTGATTCATTCCTATGGATAGTGACCGTTAACTTGTTACTTTTTTTTCTGGATCCTTCTTGAAATTGCTTAGGGCTCCAAGCAGAGAAATAGGGGCCCAATAAAGTAGAAAACTATAATCGACTATCGACAGGAAACGTGCAGCGTTAAGAGAGGCAGACTTAGTCAGCAGCTCGTCAACGTAACGTATCCGAACGTTTTCGGGATTTTTGCGACCCCCTAGCTCTCGAGGGGGTCCAGTTGCGACCCCCTGTTTTTGTTAATAAGAGTGCTAGACATGAATCCGTTGCGCCAGAAAGCGTCTGCGCGTCGTCGCGTCGGCCTTGGAGCGCGGCAGGTATCACCCGGGCGCTGGAAGAACGGGACGCGGCGAAGAAAAAATTTTAGAGGGGAATAACTTTCTTGGGACGTATTTTTTGACTTGTTGAGGTAGATTTTGATTGTGCCTGAGGTGCGCTTTCAGAAAACTACAAGGATTGCCTAACTCTCCGGAAAGTACTTCTGTTAGAAGTGGAAAACCCAAAATTTTAAGAAGGCACCTTCAACTTTGAAGGCCATAAAATCTTTCGTATGCGACATTTTGGAAATCTGTAAAAAGTTTCAGAAACTTCAAATATTTCTCTAACAAACAGTATAAAAAGTTTAGTGATTGTCCCCTTTCAAAAAATTGTCCCGTTCGAACATTTTTCGTGCAAAAGCGAGTTTTTGGGCTTTCAGCGACCATAACTCACTTCATTTTTCATTTCTGTGATGCACTTTTTCATGGGGTGAAAGTTATACGAAATCCATTTTCCGAGAAAATCACACGTTCGAACATTTTGTTCCCATAGGTTTTTGAGCAGCACATGCGAGTTTTTGAGCTTTCAGCAATGATAACTTCCTTCAAAGAGCTTGTTGGAGAGGGATAAAGACATTTGTGAAGACTACGAGATTTCCGCTTCCTTACATGTTTCACAGTACATTGGAAGAAGCGTCTCCCCAAAAAATAGGTCTTAAAGAACTTTGTTTTCAGCCCCAAGAAGACAAACCTTTTATAGGGATGTCAGATTGGTCTTGTTATTCCCTTAAAAACACCGTAATTTGCCTAACTGTCTCTCTGTGCATAATAAATCGAATCTAATGCGGTCTGCACAACAAGTCTTGCCCTCGGATACGCCACGCACGCGCCTGTGGCTGGCAGTCCTCGAAATTGCGACCCCCTTCCGACCAAAATGCGACCCCTTCGTTCGAACAGTTCGAACGGACGGTTGACCCTGCTGTAGGATTCGCGTCAAGTTAAATAGAATGTCACCATTGCACGTCCTACATCGCACAGCACGCGCTGCGACTCGTCCGCGACTCTGCCTTCTTGCCGCGCGACGGGCCTCCTGTGGGATACCCCAATTAATCCAATATTGGAGCAGAGCAGTAATCGAGATCGTTCCAGCTCACTACTTACCACAACATATTCCGTAATAGACATGGTGCACCATCACTTTCGTATGACTACACACTCGAAAGAGCGGCACAGAATTGGGCGGATAACCTCGGTAGCAAGAGAAGCTGCCTTGTACATGAGGTTCCTCGTAGGTGAGGCTTGTGAATTTCCAAAACCTTCCGTTGCAATATACTTCCATGAATCTTTCAGATACGGAGAGAATTTGTTCTACTTCGGTGCAAGAAAGTTCCCAAGTACTCATACAATGGCACACTTGGTCACGCAAAGTTTCTACATGGAGGGAGCAGGATATGATTACAACAGGTGGGCCACTTTTGCGTTTTTTTCCAGATCGGTACTTTGTAACTAGAGCGTCCTTCGTATTAGACATGGCGCACTCTAACTATAAACGCACACGTTAGAAGGCGTGTTCTGCCGCCTCGTTGTAAAAATCAACGCCGACAAGGTCTTCCTTGCGTGCAAGCAACCCAGAGTTTGCCGACATTCCGCGCCAGTCGGTTTTTTTTAGATCAGAATGAAAGTCACATGCGCGACCGTGTGAAATGCGCTGTGTCACGTGCTAATACTTGGCTAGACCGGTAGTTCAATTCCTGTTATAGAAAAAATTGGGGAAAATTAGGATTAAAAGGTATTTTCAACTCCGAGAAATGGGAATCGCTGAGCACATTCGTTGGAAGCTGAACTCTCTAAACATTTGAGCGTAAGTGTTGGTAACTTGTGATCAAAGGATGAAGCGTAAATCGTTGATCAATCCTGTTTGGGATGCGCCACACATACTACTTTTGTCCATAAACGTGGGGCATTTGAACGCGGTATGGCCTGTACAACGATTTGCGGATGCTAGCCGCCGAGGTTTACGTCAGCAAATTACCCGACCCCGGAGGAATGGAAAGCTTGGTTAACCTGGATGTGATTTGGTCCGAGATTTGACCCCCGGACCGTGAGCATTGGATGTTACGCCATTTGCCACTACACTACCTTTGCCCAATCCTGTAAGACTCCCTTCATTTTGAGCAACTATTTTCCACGAAAAGATGAGCGAGAACTGGAGAAGAAGTGAAATACTGGAATCACTATGATTTCGATCACCTATTTTTTCAAACCGAACCCGTTTAATGACGGAGTCGAAGCGACATTTCTGATCATCCCTTTTTGTTTCATAGGCTCTACGAAGCAATCCATCACGAAGCGGTTTTTGCTTCGTAATCACCGTTGCAGTTCTATCAGTCCTTGGAGTGAAGGAAGGATGGGAAATAAATCCAAGTAATTAATTTTTATTTTCTGCTAGGTAATGATTATGCTGTAATTCTTTGTCCCATCAATTTCATCAAACCAGTTCTCAGTTGAACCGATTTTTAGTTTCCATCGCCCTTGAAGATCTAACATTGTTAAAGTATTATATTTATATTTCGGGCTCTTCCCTCTGCCGATTATGCCAATTTTTCCCACTGTATGGACAAGTGGATCCCAGCGGATGACTCACATGTGATACGTGATCTCGTTAATGCATGTCACTGGCGATACCTGAGTTCTTCCTCAGGAAGAGGAATGCTGCAATTAGTATTTAATAGACATAGATGGGTTCTTGATGCTGGTCAAATTCAGTGTTTCCTCTAAAGGCAAAGGTCAGGATTAGGGGACCAAACCAAACCCTTCCGTCATCTCTGTGGGTGGTAGTTACGCACCCACAGAGACGTTGCCACGCTCAAAATCCCAAACGGCGCCGGCAATAAAGCCCCAGGGGATGCATTGTTCGCTATCGCCGCTGGAGGGCCTATGCCCGCTCATCTCCGTAGTGGTGCGTGGCTGGCAGTACGTGTGAAATCAGCTGGGTTGATTGCCGTATCAACCGAAGGCACGGAGCCAACAATAGCCGGCATGTCCGAAAAACTCGTTTGGACGTGCCTCTCTCCCAAGCAGGTCAACCCTGATCTTTGGACCAGTACCGTAAGGCTCGAGTTTGTTGATTTTGGGGGAGGGCTTGTTTTTGTTTCGTTATGCATGAAATGTTCCATCTAGTGAGGTGAGAGCCGCGCGGGCGAAAAATTGCCTTCAGCTGCGCTAAATTATTAACCTCTTTCCCCGACGGTGTTTTTTGAGGGAAAAAGAATTGTGCCAGTATGGTCGTATGGAATTCTCTATAAGGAAAAGGTTCGTAAAAATTTTTTTCAAAAAGTCCCATAGGGTTGACCCTACTCCCGAGCCAGCCTTCACTGCTAGAGAGAGGTTTCGATTTCGGCCTTGTCGACAGTTTCTTTTCGTTTTTTCTCCACTGTCATTCCTTTTCGCATCTCTACAGACTCAGTTTCAAGCGCCATAATACCCCTGATTGAGCCCGACCTTTGCCTTAAAGGAGGAATTCACGATTAGAATGAAGGTCGAAGAAAGGGAAACTGACCTAGTTGAGGGACCCACGGACCTCCTGAGGGTGCGAACTGACGCGCAATTCGCATGGAAAAATTTGACCGGCGACCTATCATGCCTCAAAGCTGGCGGGTCCGGCGATCTCCGCCCACCGATCATCTGATCACTCGCCGTAGTTCAATACGTGGCGAGTGATTAGATAGCTGAGAGAGCGTAGTGTTGAAGAGGGCACAGCGATGAGAGTCGCATCAATGCTCGAATCAACGGGCAAGGAAGGGGTACCATTTCTCGGGTTCTGGGCCGTTTCTCATGGTTCTTCCTTCTTTCGTGTACCACTCACCATCCCTAGGTTAATTTGAAATGGTTGCTTTTTCATCGTGAATTCGTCCTTTAATCCCATGGAAAATAGCGCTGTTCACCGTTCCTGCGCAGGCGATAAAGGTGGTAGGACCTTGTATGAAAGCCGGCTTCGCTCGTTGCCCGTGTTACTATGATCCACCTCAAGAAAACTGCGTCCTCTCTTTCGTTGTCGTCTCGCGCCTGTCCTCTCTTCTCGGCCCTGGGTGTTTTTTTTTGTCTTAGCGCCGTCCGCCTCAGTGTAAAGAGAAATAATTGGATTTTAGTGTTTTTGGCTGTTTCTTTTTGTTTTTTACTACTCTTTTTTTCTCGCTGCTGGTAAACCTTGGATTTCCGATTTAGTTCTCGCGTGCGAGAATCCCACCCATATGGTCGTGGGTTGTACCATAGAGCAGGATTAACTTACCACACATCACATTTTTCGACCATCTGTTGTCCAATAATTTGTGATAGCTTATCCATCCCATTCTTGAAAACTTTACGGAAACCAGTTTACTCGCATGACCAGAGGACATGGTTGTTTATAGGGATCCGACAACGCATAAGCAACTTGCTAGCCATAGCAAATGCCCATCAGCTTTGATAGCCCAGTCTGCGCTTTGAACATTGTCCAAAAGAACCTTTTTCTCGATTTTAGAACCCTACATGGCTAGAGGGATATGATATATAGGTATACATCGCAGTTGAATAACCAAACTGACCAATTGAACATTTTTTGTAAGTTCAGAGTTACTCCGACGTCGACCAGTAACATAACGAGCGCTACGCATCCAGTGATTCGCCAGCACGCCGCCGCGCGCATAGGCCGATGTCAGACTTTGCGAATCGCGCGATTCGCTAGCGTCTGCGGTCGCGTCGCGGCCAGTGAATCACTCAATTGGCTGGTACCGCAACGCGACCGCGGACGCTAGCGAATCGCGCGATTCGCAAAGTCTGACATCGGCCATAGCTTTTGACTTCGCGCAATGTCGCAACTCAAGACTCTTGCCTCATAACTCGCCGGTGACGATGCCAAAATTTTAAACAGTGCTGATGTTGCTAGATCGAGTTCAGAAAAGCAACAGGAATAAACAGTTTCGCGAATTTGAAAGAGGACAAGCCAAAAGTTGCACACCCAACTCGAACTAGGATTTGACGCAGTCTGATTCAGAATACATTTTACTTTTCCAGGTTCTATCCGGCGTCCTACTACAAAACTGGCCACTTCACACAACTGATTTGGAAAGGCTCGAAAAAAATGGGAGTTGGTGTCTCCATAGTTTACCATAACGGCTCACGGAAAAATTCTTGTCAACCTGGTGTACCGCTCTACATGATCTATGTTGTAGTCAAGTATGATCCACCTGGTAACTTCCTATCATATGATTCCTATATGAACAATGTGAAGTCACCTATACACTGAATTACTTCTCTACTGCCCAATGTAAACTAACTGTACCGTCCTCTAGCTGTAATTTCGAAAGCCGTTTTGAATCATTCCTTCCCACTTAAAAATTCTTAGAACCTGAGCAAACTGTGCTATGGAATGTGTTGTGGGGTAGTATCAGTTGAATTTCGGATACTTTCTGACCCTTCATATCGGCTCTTACACCAGTCAAGGTGAAAATGTGATGATGTTCTGCAACCCTTACGAACTTTGCCTTAACATTATTTTATTTGTTAGACGAGGTATTAATTGAATAAATGATCTCTTATTTTGCCCATTCAGTTCCATGTGTGGCACCATTGAAGTGATAGTCTGAAAATGTTCATTGATCAGGTCCGTTTTTCTGCATTGTAATTTTTGACCTTATGAGCCGTCAAACAAATGCACGCGTGAAAACGTGCAAAGAAATCAGCACCGGAAGTTGGAGATTGAACATTAATTCTTAATCGTCCCTTACACTTGCACTAGGAACAGAAACGGAGTAGATGCGTGGCACAATATGCGAAGGAAGTGCAATGATGACTCAACTCAGCAGAAGTTATTGCAACTTACAAGGGGGGGGGGGTTAGGAGGGAAACCTCAAGATTCTACAGCCACTCAAGGTGCCATATACACTTCTATAATTGCCTGAAGGCACGGCGGTATGCGACTCGAAAGCACACCTTTAAGGGAGCCAGTGCGCTCACTTGACCGCTGCGACCGCTGCCATCCTTGTGTGGTAGCTGTGCCCTCTCGCGTTTTCCCTCTCCTCACAGCAGTGTTCTCTCATCGTGCGACGGTCATCATCGCAAAAAACATTTCAGTGCTCCCCATGATGGTTTTTAAATCTTTTCCCTACCAACATTCCTGTTCTTAGTTATTGTCTAGTTCTCAAGCAAAATAACACACCAATTCAAACGGAGCTATGATGCTGAAGGGCGCAGCGGTAGCATTCTGGAACTGCAAGCACGAGGTCGTAAACGGGTTTCTCGCGAGTTGACTTCTTTGCTTTCATTGTAAACATTTCTAAAAATACTTTTATACTCGTTATTTCATCAAACGCTCATTTCGTTCGAGACTAAACAACCGTAACGATTGCATGATCATAACAAATGACTTCCTGCCATTCTTTCCTTGTGATGACTATTAGGTCACCACAAATGGCACGTAGAACTTTCCATTGTGGTTAGTGTCTAATTTCTCATAGTTGCTGACTAGAAGGAGAAAGGCTGCTGGAGAGTGGTGGAAGCCGCAGCTTGGTTCAATCGTTAAGGTTGTTTTGCTTGGACTTTCTTGGAAATGAAGCAGCTAGCCTAGTGGGATTGGGCGCTAGCCAGGAATGTTCTTCAGGTCAGAGCGCTTTTTCGAACTTTTATATTTTTAGTAGGCTTCACAACATTTGTA